TTATTATTTTTTTAATACAAAGGGTAAAATCGACTTTTGGGGGGGTGGGGGGGGCGGTGTTTAACAACACCTTTTTTTTGTGCAACAGGTTATAAATGGCGTCTATCGGTCCCTACTTTGTTAATGTGTACTGGAAAATTCTTCAGAGTGAGTTAGGAAATATTTTGAATTATTTGGCTCGTCCGGATTATTCATTTATTATTAATGGAATAATATCATATGAACAATTGGTAGATATGATTTAGAAAAATGGTGGATTTCGATAGTTGGACAATTTCGAATATTACTTTCATGGTCCAACAACCGGATGGTTCGTTTATTCCCGCAAGACTGGATAATGATAGTTCTCTTGCGTGGATTTACTACTTTCCTCGTATGTCCGCTGTGTTTTTGCATATAGTGTTGGAAGCAAACACACAGGTTACACAGGTTGAAGATCATATGCCATCATATGGTTACGGGGAGTGTTTGGTGATGAGGGTACGTGGACTACGCATGCCGGTAATTTTGGTGAAGAGACGAGTAATTTTGGCGAAGGGACGAGTAATTTTGGCAAAGGGAAGAGCTTTACCATGAGAGGGCCGGACATTGAAAAAGAAATTGTTGGAGATGAAGATTTCAGTCCCGGCGAAGACGATTTAACTGATGAGACCTCAAAAACCGAATCGGACAGATCAATTAATGAGGAGAGCGAACAAAAATTCATTGAAGAACACCCCTTTCCAAATGAAGGCCTCCACGTATATCGCGAGATGGGTGAGTGGGACCCGTCGTGTGTAGACATGGACGAGTATGCCTTGCCACTCTGGGATGGGCATGTCGAGACTATCCGTTTGGGTACAGTTTTTCGTACCAAGGAAGAAGCCTAGCCTGGTGTTATGGCCTGGAATGTTGAGAATCTTAGGGCGGTCCGGACAAAAGATTCCAACAAGAAGTTGTTCAAAGTTGTATGCAGATCAGCTGAAGTTGTACCATGTGTGTGGAAGGCTCGGGTGAGTCTTAATCCACGGGTGCACGACATGTGGGAGGTAACCGAATGGACCGACAGACACACTTGCATGCAGGTGTTCGAGAGAAATGACCACAAAAATGTGACCGCCACCATGATCTCAAATCTTCTGTTGCCTAAGATTCAGAAGCAGGTGACCTACAGTGTGGAAATTGTCCAGGCCGACGTAAAAAGTGCCTGGAGGATCGATGTGATCTACAAGAAGGCGTGGCACGGGAGAAAAAAAGCCATCGATCGTCTGTATGGCACGTGGGAATCGACTTCGCACAACTCCCCCAGTAAGCAAAAATTAATTATAAATGTATTTACGTGTTATTTGTAACTATATTTATTTATGGTTACCTTTTTATAATTTGCAGGTTTTTTGCCGCCCTTTAAAGGGCGAATCTCGACACAGTCGTTGAGTGGGAATGGCAGGATGGGGAAATGGCTCGTAATTCTCGAGACAGAGAATTTAAATTTGTCTTCTGGGCATTCGGGCCCGCCATTCGAACCTTCCATCTTTGCCCGCCGATTATTAGCATCGACGACACGCACCTGCGAGGTTCGTATAAGGGGAAGCTACTTGTTAATTGCAAATTTATTTTTTATTTTCTAGCTTACAATAGTGTCTGATAAAAAAACATATGTCCAACTGAGCAAGTTCGTACAAGGGGAAGCTGCTTATTGCCATAGCACAAACCGTGAATAAGCATCTATTGCCAGACGCGTATGCGATTGTGGTGAAGAAAGCACGGCTAGCTGGTCCTTTTTTCCTAACACATCTGCGCAATCATGTCATCTCCGACAGGAAGATATGTCTTCTTTCCAACAGGGACAACGACATATTAAGTGCCGTTGATTTACTGGAGGCTTGGCACGAACCCCATGCATTTCATCGGATATGCCTTAGATACCTCCGGAGCAACGTGGTTTCAAGATATCGAAGTAAGAAAGTTCGGGTTTTGTGCTAGAGGTTCGGTTCACTGTGTTCTCGTCGCAAATTTGAGTAGGCTCGACAACAACTTCAGGAATGTCATCCGGAAGCATGCAATTACCTTTTCCAAATTCCTTTGGAAAAGTGGACCCTGTACAGACATAACAGACGTCGATGGGGCACTTTGACAACCAATATGTCAGAGAGTTACAACAACGTCCTCAAAGGTATTAGGTTCTTGGCCTGCAGAGCATTGGTACAGGCCACAATGGACAAGACTCTGGATTTGTTCCAACAGGAACAAAAAGAGTCCAGAAGCTGTCGGAGTCAAATTCCTACCCATCTCTATGCCGCCTATCTGGAGTTGGAGAGGAAAACGGCGATTCACGAGGTGGAATGTGTGGACGCCGACGAATCCCAGTACACGGTGATAACCGGTCTACGCGCCAGTGGAAGAGGGCAAAACAAGTATGTATTTTGTATTAATTTTTTATTTCCATTGAAATGAGTTTTTTTTTTGTGTTTA